TTTTCTCAATCAGCATATTGTCCTCATGTTACTGAGAAAATAAGAATATATTGTATTCAGTTCATCACAGTTACCTTGTATTGTTATTGTGTCTTATAAAATAAGGAGGGAATGTTGAAGAAAAATTCAGTCAGATCCAGTTTTTGAAATATTTGGAAGATTCTCACACCTTCGGTGGGTGTAGTGGGGTTTTACAGAGAGATAGAACCATTGGGGCATTTATTAGGGGAATGAGCTCATGTGATTTTTTGGAAACTGGGAGGTTCCATGGTAAGTCATTGGCAAGTGGAAAAGAACAGAAAAGTTGATACCATGTCTCAGTCCAAGTCCAGAAGCCTCAGCCAGGGAAGCCGAGGGTTCAACCCCCAGTTCAAGGCCAAAGAATTTGGAGTTCTGAAATGTCCAAGGGCAAAAGGAATGGCATCATGCTGTGTGTGTATGGAGTACGCAGAGAACACAAGACTGCCCTTGACCTCCTGTTCTTTCTTACAACAATCTGGCCCTTAGCATTTCTACTTAATAAGGGAACTGCGTTAAGTTCCATTATTCCAAATGATAGTAACTGATAACAAAGCCCACACTGGAAAATGATTTAGAAGACCCACATATAATAAGGACATTAGTTTTCCCAAGAATCTCCTTCTGCTGGTAGATATCCTGTTTGAGTTCCACAGATGTAGAATTACCCAGAACTCAGAAAGCATTCTTGTATCAGGTATTAAAATCTTTACTCAGAAGCTCCCTGTCAGCAAAATTAGGAGGTAACGATGCTGTTGAGAGAAACACCTTCCCTCTGCCTCATTCAGGTCAGGGTCTACATTAGGGAGGGAAATTGTGGGACGATAGGAGGTGGCATGGTGAAAGGGCCTCTGGTTCACCAGACCCCTCCTCTAAATTAAGGAATTTCCTGAGATGTTAACTCGGTTGCCATTTTGTCACAGAGAATTTCCTGATCAATTGTTTCCCCTATAAGAATCTCTTTCTCTTTAGCTCTTTTTTTGGAGGGGGAGGTACCAGGGATTGAATTCAGGGGCACTTGACCACTGAGTCATGCCCCAAGCCCATTTTTGTACTTTCTTTAGAGACAGGGTCTCACTGAGTTGCTTAGCACCTTGGATTTTTGCTGAGGCTGGCTTTGAACTCATGATCCTCCTGTCTCAGCCTCCCGAGCCACTGGGATTACAGGCATTGGCCTCGTACACGAGTCTCTTTACACCATATATCTTACCTGTCCCGATTTTGTCAAAGTATAAAGATACCTTTATGTCACTTCTACGTGTGATTCTTTATTTAACATAGATCTCCGCCACTAGTTCTTCAGGTCTGTGTCAACATTGGTGGTTTCTGACCTGGTTATGATCTTTGAAACTAGCCCAGTACCTGCAACATGGGTCATCAGTGTTGTACAACTGAGAGAACTGATGAGTGGTTGGACAATTTTGAAGGCCAGATAAGGTAGCTGGAGATTTTATTTAAAAAAAAAAAATAACAAGCAGTAGAGCTTCTGATACTTATCTAGGGACCAGCTGTACCGAAGACAGGGCTTTGGTGGATTCCAGGGGATTTGTGGACTGGATTAGAAGAAAAAGCCTTCTAATGAAGCACACACCCAGGTTGTTGCAGGCAGAGAGAGGGACCCTGGGCTCCCGGCACCTTTAAACCATGGTCACAGAAATCAAAGTTTCACCTACAAGAGCTGGTGAGGCAATGAACAGAGGAGCCAGAGAGAAGAGGCAGAGATTTCAAGCCCAGGAAATGGGGATGATGAGATGTCCTCTGCTTTAATGACAGACCACTGTGAACAGTGAAAAGAAGACATGCAAATAGGTATATGAAAAGCAGGAAGTGGCAGGTGCTTTATAAGGCTGGAGGAGAAACCTGAGACAAAGACTGGCCCTTCGTGTGGCTGGGTTGTGAACTTGGGAGTCCCTGACACATGCAGGTGATGGGCAGACGCTTTTGCACAGCGGAGTCCCTTGTGGAGAGGGAGGAGAATGTCTGCATCCGTGCAATATTTCCAAGGCCTTCTCATGTCCTGTTTCTTTTGGAGCAAACCCCCCTTGAGTTTCAGAGGACATTTTTGAAAGATCAGAGTAAGCAGAGTGGTGTGTCCAGTGTCACAGAGACAGTAAATGACAAAGCAAGAATCTAGGGGCTCAACCAGAGACCAGATGACTTTTGTATGTGAGGGCTGTGGCGTACCACGTAGCTGGCCAGTCGTTGTTAATGTTTCCTGTGTCGATTGTTCTATCAAAGGAGAGCTTTAAAAAAAATAATGATAATCTTTTTCTCATAATATGCTGTATGTGAGATGTTTTCTGTTGTCCTTGTTGAATTCATATTACAGCACATGAATGCTTTTATGACCACAGTTTCTGAAATAAAACATTTTCTTCCACTCCAAATATGATCACCAATGAGGAAAAAGTAATAGAAATATTTCCTGCTATTACAAAAATCTTCCAAATGGCCAAACAGTATTAGCTTTGGCTCTCTTAAAGGTTACTTCTCAACCATCTGTGTTTTTTTATAGACATCTGTCCACGTTTCTGTCATTATCTAAATTAACTAGAGTAAATAAAATCACCGTAACCATCCTTAGTATTTGCTTTTCAAAATCAATTCACTTTTTATAAAAAAATAAGCTCATTTTTAGGTAGTGTTGGGACTCAAAGTATTATTTTAAGTTGGTCAAGGCTTATGTGTGCTAAAATTATAGTGAGCTCCCTAAAAATATTGAAATGCTATTGCATTTCTTCTGTGTAGTGGTTGCTTGATTTTTAAATCACAATGAGCTTTCTCTAATACAGAATAGAGGAAGGGAAAGGTTGTAGTAAGCCACTTCACTTGTTAAAAATACCTTATATAAATCAGCCTTCTAATATGTCTAATTTTTCACTGGTGGTACTGAACATAGGAGAACCAAATACAGCTACAGGTATGCAGGTATAAATATATATATTTATTCATATATGTGCACATATACATGCATCAAAAGACATGTATTTATCATCTACAGTGATAAGCAATATCAAGTTCTGTCTCATGGATCTTGCTTAATTAAAACTCATTGCAACAAACCAGACAACCCACATCAAAGGGCTGTAGAACTAAATAGACATTTCTGAAAAGAAGACATGCAAATAGGTATATGAAACGCAGGTATATGAACAAAATATGCCAATAGATATATGAAAAATGCTGAATATCATTAATCATCTGGGGGTTACTATTAAACCCACAATGAAATATCACTTCATCTTAGGAGGAATGGCTGTTATAAAAAAGACTAAAAAAATAAAAATTCTGAGTAGGATCTGGAGAAAAGGCAGCCCTTCCATGGTGTTGGTGGAAGTGTGAAGTAGTACAGCCATTATGGGAAACAGTATGGAGGTTTCTCAAAACATTGAAAATAGAACTACCATATGATACAGCGATTCCCTTCCTGAGTATATACTGAGAGGAAAGGAAATCGGTGCACTTGAGATATCGGCACGCCCATGTTTGTTGCAGCACCATTCCCAAGAGCCAAAACATGGAAATAACCTAAGTGTCTATCAGATGACGAATGGATAAAGAACATGGTACACATACAAAATAGAATATTTTTCAGCCGTAAAAAGGAACGAAATCCTGTCATCTGTGACATGGCAGGAACTGGAGATCATTGTGTTAAGTTTAACGAGCCAGGCACAAAAAGATGCCATATTATCTCACTCATAAGTGGAAAGTAAAAATGTCAATCTCCTAGTTGTTTAGAGTAGCCTGGTAGTTACCAGAGGCTGGGAAGTCAGAAAGGATGGAAGGAGGAGAAAAGGTTGACGAATGGGTACTGTGTTGCAGTGGGAAAGGAGTAAGAAGTTCTTGTGTGCTGTTGCAGAGCAGGATGACTGTAGAAAACTGTTATGTACCCCATCAACAAGCAAAAAAGAGGATTTTGAATATTTTCACCAAAAAAGAAGGATAAATGTTTGAGGAGATATGCTTAACCTGATGTCAACATTACACAATACATACAAGTATCAAAACATCACATTACCTCATTCATATACATAATTTTTAATGTTTTAAGGTAACAGTTAAAAATGAATTTAAATTAAAAAAGGAGAGAGAGAAATGCTAATGGCCCTGATTTGATCATGATGAATTACATACATTTATTGAACTGTCACACTGGGCTCCATAAATATGTACAATCATTGTGTCAATTAAAAGTTAAAAAAAATGAAAATAAACATGTGCCATTTTAAATGAAAAAATACACATCAGTTGCTCAATATTATACTGTGTACATCTCTTTAGAATATATGACCTTTTCATATATTAAATTATTCAAATGTTACTATTATACTGTTTAGCACTCTCCTATACGATGTCAATTCCCATTTTACAGAGAGTGTGACTCGGTACAAATAGAAGCCGTTTAATTTCATGACGTTCAGGCCTACCTTACTTTTCTTTTGACTAGATGCAGTAATGACTCCATACGCCAAAATGTTAAGTGTCATTTAATTTAGTTTGAAAATGATAAAGGATAACCTAAAAAGGTAAATCACAAGCTCAACAAGGACATGACCCCGTTTAGGTCATGTTAGGTTCTTAAAAACTGACACACCTCATCATGCCAAAATCCAAAGCAGTATGGTCTAACCTAAAGCATCATGTGTACCCTTCATCAGAACCAGTAGTGGCGTAAAGACGGGCACAGGAGGCATTTTGACAGAGGGTAACGTGATGATCATTATTATCCAAAGTACAGGTATGAAGACACGAGTTGGTGTGAATATACTTTGTGTACAACCAGAGATATGAAAAACAGTGCTCTATATGTGTAATAAGAATTGTAATGCATTCCTCTGTCATATATAAATTAAAACAAACAAAAAGACAAGCCTCCTACTGGGAAGTGTGGTAGTGACCTTGCAGAATGTGGAAAGCTAGGGGACAATGTGAATGCTGGAAAAGCCCAGTAACCTATTGCTTTGTTTTGTGAATTGTAGCTGACTTTGGCCTGGCAAAGCAAAAACAAGAAAACAGTAAGCTCACGTCCGTCGTTGGAACCATCCTGTATTCTTGGTAAGGATGATTATCTTCCGGCTCTCCATAGCACTACTTCGCTAGCTTGGGCTTTCATTTCTATCCTTGGCTTGCAAAGCAAAGGGAATTTCAGGAAAGGAAGCCATTAGTTTTCTTCTTTTACCCAGGTAATACACCCAAAAAGAATCGTGGATCAGAATTCTGCGTGTATAAAACAACAGCCGCAAAAGTGATCTTCCTTCTCAGATAGCATGTCTCTGTGCTGTCTTCATGCACCTACTTTTACCTTTCCTACCTATAAACACTGAAGGTCAGGGAAAGAGTTTCTGTGTGCTACTATATATTCTTCTACCTGGGGGAAAAAATAGGTATTCAATAAATTTTATTGCCTGCATGAATAAATGATGACATATATACTTAGACATATGTGTACAAAGTCAGTTGTGTTTTGGGCAAGTGAATGTTTATATTTTGACAAATTGAGACACTTCTAGCTCTTAATGCACACTTTGAGGGTTCTCTTGCAAGCCACTTATACGAAGTGAGACTCTTGCTAATCACGTATGGTTTATCTGAGTCTGTTGAGATGAGCAAACAGATACAAAAGTCAGTAGAAGAGCCAATTTCAGAGAACTCTTCCTAAATCTGATCCAACAGGTCAATCAGTCAAGACACTTACGTTTTCTTTATAAAATCTAACTGATTGTCGTAAATTGAGTCCTGGTGACAGAACTGAAAATGCATCTTCTTGAAGGAGGTTGGAAATGTCTGGAAACAACAGCCCCATTTTACAAAATCCTTGTATGACATGGTTATTGAGGCTAATTGTACAGGGTGATTTTTCGTTTATTTTACTGGAATTTCCTTATATTTTATTTTTGAAACAAGTCCCATGAGAAGATGCAAAAAGATTGGTAGTAGCCAGGTTAATATTCCTCAAAAACTGCAAGCTTATCTATATACTTAACCTCTTAACCACAAAGCTGAACCATTCATTGCTTGTTGCTAGAAGAATAATTTTTTTTTTGCTTTGTTTTGTTTTTGCTTTGCTTTGAACTTTTTTTTCAGAAATAATGAAAATTTTATCACAAAATGTTAACTAATCCTATGTTCCTGGACAGATTCCATTGTTAAAGTTGCAGAACAAATAAGATACAAACTTAAATTTCAGTTGATCATATTTGGCATAAGCAGATTTTTGTTACCAAGCCTCTGAATTAAGTTCGGAATTGCTAATCTGATAGTATCAATTTGTCTTTGTGTGCGTTTGTGTCAGAAAATTTATAGAGTGTTTAGGAAGAAATCCGGAGCATGATAACTCTTTTGCTTTCTTATCCCAAAGATAGATTCACAAATTTCCTTTAATTTTTTAAATAAACAAGAGTGTCAGTTTTGCTGGGCCTACTAGTATAGACAAGCTATTATTTTATATAGTATTGTGATTGTTTTAATAACGTGTGCAGTGTATCTTATCACCATTCATCTTCCCATCGAGCCCTTTGGTCCTTTAAATTCCTTTAACATTTTTCTTTCTCCTCTTTCCTCTCGCCTCCTCCATTTGTTAGAAATGCTCTGTTTTCTGGGTTTTACTATGAAGTTGGACTCAGTGCTATCTGTTTTCCTGGCTTTTGGTAGCTTCACCTGCACACAAAGTCAAAAGATGCTGTTCTCTCGTGGTCTTAGTTTGGGTCCAGAAGCAGCCTGCGAAACAAAGGCTAAGTGAAATGGTTTGTGTGAGAGGGGGTCCCAGGAAGCACTGGGGTGGGGGAGATGGGAAGAGACGACGTGGAAGCAGCTAGTAGTGTGAACCACAATCGGGGGCCAGGGAGTGTTACTGGGGACGGTGATGTAGGGAGCTTTTAGAGTTGTCCTGTGTGTTGGGTGAGAGGCGTTCTGTTCCCCAATCACAAGTGGGAGCCTTCGTCACAGGCTGGGAAAAGCCTCAGCAGGATCTTATACTGTTGGACATAGGCTGCCCTGGACGTGCCCTGAGATGTGAGTGCGAGGGGACCCAGCGGTGTCAGCAGTACAGTTTCTCAAGTCTTAATGGTTTCAGATTTAGGATGGATCCCAATAAGTTGTTTGGCATGTCCAGTTTCTTTTGAATTTTCCATATAGTCGTTTGGGGATTTTTCTCTGATTTTTATGAATTGGAAAAAAAAATCTCACCGTCAGGGGTCAGAGTCTCATGCCTCCTGCCTTTTCTCAAATTGTCCCTTTACCCTTTAATTTTTTTTTTTTTTGTAATCCTTCTGAGCTTTTCTGAACCTATAAACATGGACCTGAGATCCAGGGGAACTGCTGTCCCAGGCTGTCCAAGTCGGGTGAACCTGACATTCTCATGTCATTTCGCCCTTTCCCTTTGCTTCTGTTTCGGCAGATGTGGGAGAAGGTTCTCTTGATCAACTCCCATAGGAAGCTCCTTGGAGCATTCTTTATTCTTTTTGCAGCTGCTAGATAAATGGTTTGCAGGCACATTGCTGGACTGGCTATACTAGAATAGAAGCTCCCTAAAAAAATCTCCTTTTCTTTATCTAATTTGATTCTTTATTAGGCAAGCCTTGGTTATGCTTCTCAAGGAAAAATAATCTCCAGATATGGCCCTGATTTCCATTTCCTCTCTCTATTTCTTACTCCAACTCCAAAGAACAAAAGTTGTATTCCATCTTCAACTACATTTTCACAGCAGATTTTAAAAGAGTTTTGGGCTCTGGGAATCATTTCATGCTCATTCTTTGTGGAACACAGATTTGGAATTTAATAATCAGGTATGATGTAATAACAATGGGACTTTTTCTGGAATGAGAATTCTTAAAAGTTCTGCTGTTCTTTATGATTCTGGTCCCATTATGAAGTTAGATAATTAGCAGAGAAGCTGGGGAAGTGTTTACTGGGTGGATCGAAATAAGCCTGTAGGTAAACCCAAGCAAGTAGAGACAAAGTGCAGCAGTCCCAAACCATCTGTAAACTCTCAAGTTCTTAAGGAAGCTATTATGCACTCAGAAATCTTAAATTATACACTCAGAGAATCTTAAATGCTTAAAACACTTCTGTAACTTCTGATTGTTTATGTAAAGACTAAGTTCTTAGTATGACTGCAGGAATTCATCTCTGCATGCTCTGGCCTCAGCCACCTTCTTCTGCTTTACCTCAAACCAGACTTTACTCTGATAATTCCATCTGGGCTCTCTCTGATCACAGGGCCTGTGTTGTGCACACAGCATTCTTTACCTAGAAAATGCTTTTCTCACTTGTCCTGCTTTGAACTTTTACCCATTCTTCAGCTCTCAACTGGAATGTTGCTTTCCTCAGAACCCAATCGACAAGGCACATTTCCTCTGGTCTGTACATTCCCTACACTTTTTCTTCACACAGTTGAATTTTTCATTTATTTTCGATAGTTCATGATGATTTTGTTAACCACCATTCCCAGCACTGAGCCCAGAGTCTGGTACTTCATAGACTCGTGAGAAATAATTGCTTCACAAGTGATGCCATATTTGCATGATTTTGAACAATGCCCAAAGTAACGTGCTATAAGGAAAACCGTGATCCTTTTTATTGTAAGAACTTTTTCATTGGTTCACATCCTTCCCCTTCCTGTTCCTTCAGATCTCCAAAATGCTCCTCCCTCGAATGCTCCTCCTCCAGAGAGTTGCAAAATCTACTCTTTTACTTCCTTTTGGTCCCTGCTTAAATGTTTTTCCTGACCACAGGCCCCAAATAGCAACCTCTGTTTGGATTCAATTCCTGGATCTTGCTTTAGGTTTCTGTAGCCCCTGCTTCTGTCTGACCTTGTACTGTACAGAGGGCCCCTGACTTAGGATGGCTTGACTTACAATGTTTTGACTTCACGACGGTGTGAATGCAGCATGCATTCACTAGAAACTGCACATTAAATGTGGATCTTTTCCGGGTCTAATGTGTGTGTAAGATACGCCTGAAATGTTGGGCAGCAGCAGTGAGCCACAGCTCTATCAGCCACTCAATCCCAAAGGTAAACAACAGAGGCTCTTCTGTACTGTGTGAATGAGCCGTGACCTTGATAGGTTTGTCACATCAAACACATCCTCGACTTATGATGTCCTCAATATGCGATGGGCCCATCCTGACATATCCCAGGGCCCGTTGAGGAGTGCCTGCATACCTCTTGGTGCATCACAGGCTCCGTGGAAACAGAACTTTGGCCTCCTCTGCTCACCACGGTTTCCCCAGGACCTAGAGGCACAGAATGGCAAATCTTAATATTTTGAATAACTAAGTGAAAATAAGCCATTCTGCATTTTAATAGAATATAAAAAAATCAATGTGCGTTTTTATTGGGCTCAAAGGTATTAACTAACATATCTTTGAACTTTCCTTGCTTTTGCCTCACTGAAGGCTGACGTGACTACTTTGAACTTGGGATAGTAAGTACCTTGACGAGAAGATCTGTTTTATTGCTTTTTTCCATTTACTTATTTTATTTTTAAATCTTCTCTAGTTACTGGGACAGTGAATAATGAGATCAAGTAGGATATTATCATTTTTGAAACAATGAGGCATGGGATGCTTATTAATTATTGAGAGAAGCATTCTTCTATGACTGATAAATTGGCCCGGAGGGAAATTGCAAGAGAGGAATTTTAAAAATAAGAGCATAATAGGAATAAAAATATAGTATCGATAGATAGATTGGTAGGTCGTTCCAAAGAAGACAAAGCCTGGAATCATACTGCCTGGGTTTAAATTCTAGGTCCGCTGTTGGGCGTTACAAATGACAAAACTCTGTGCCTCAGTTTCCCCATCTGCAACCTGGGTATAACAAAAGCGTCCCTCTCTTAGATCATTATGAGCTTAAGTGAGGTGATGCATATCTAGTGCTGAGCTGGCATATGGTGAGCATGCCCTGATAAGAGGGATTGTCACGTGGTGCTGAGCTGGCGTATGGTGAGCATGCCCTGATAAGAGTGATTGTCACGTGGTGCTGTTGGTTTAACGTTTGAAAGGAGAGTACCCCTTTGAATGTATAGATTGCATTGTGCTTCAGAATCAGGTTT